ATGAATAGAAAGTTCAAAAGAACAGCATTTATTTGAAATAAAATTCTTAACATATATATATAAATTAAGCATGTTAACAAAAATGAGAGCTTCATATGTCTTAGGTATGTGCATCATATTTCTTCATATTTCAATGGGTTTCATATTTAAACCCTCTGGGATGTCTTGTCCCATAGACTTTTACTGTAAGTGCATTACTGTAAATGCGATTATTGCTTTATTTTTCCACACATAGAGCTTAACTTATATTGAGCCCGGAATGTTCCTTTTAACGTCCGCTCTCTGACAATGTTGATGTATCCTGATCTTTCTGTGAATTTGTTTCTAATCCACTTACAGTAGTGTTTCTTCCTAACGCTCTCTCTGCTGTTCTCCCGCTTTCTCAGGAAAAGGAGCTAAACAAAACACCCAAAACAGTTATCCAGGTCTCTGTTCTTCAACAAACGTTTGTCTGCATGAACGTTCATCTGTCCATTTCACTCTTCCGGTGTGCTTCTCATCCCACAGCCCTTGCTTCGTCTTCTGTTTCATAAATGTTGTTTTTTAAAACCTTTTCCATCTGTTATGTTTTAATTTCTAAATCTTTCTGGTACTGTTTCCTGCACTTTGAGACTAGAGCAAATGCACGTTCGGGCTTCACTCTCTCAGTTGTGTACTAATGTATGTGGCCACTGCAACATTTCTGGTTGAATATTGATTTCACATTTTGTTCACGTCAGTTCACTTTGCAGTCAAAGCCTGTAAAAAGCTTTTATTTCCGTTGAGGTCTTTTATGGGAATAGGGTTTCTGCTAGGCTCATTGTCATAAATATTGATTTGTGTTGTCTTGTGTTCTTCTCTCTTGATCTTCTAAAGGTATCAAAGCAGAGGAATGGGGCACCTTCCTTCACTGCAAAAACCAGGTAATTAAAAAGTTGCAGTTCATGTTGAAAAAATAGGTAATTCAGAACACATCATGGCTTGTTAACCTCGACTCTATTGAGATGCTGTTTTCTCGTTGCTCAGATTTTCACAGATTTCAGTGAAATCCGGAAAGAGATCAAGGAGGAAACCGATCGCAGTACCAATAATAAGGTGCAGTGGAAGCATGGCACTTCATATAGTTTGAGGTTCCATTTTAAGGCTCTGTTTTAATTGATCTCATTTAGTTGTTCTCTTTTTCCTCCCCAGGGCATCAGTCCAGAGCCCATTTACCTGAAGATCTATTCCCCTAACGTACTCAGTCTGACATTAGTTGACTTGCCTGGCATCACTAAGGTACCCACAATAACTGGACCTGTTCTTTTACCATGTAATGCAGATAAACTCATTTGCTTGAGGATAAAAAAGCTGAAGTATTATATTCTATTTTATCTTATTAGTACAATGTTATTTTAGTACAATGAATTACATAAAAATAAAATTACATTAAAAAAATATAAATATGAGTTCAGGAAACGAGCATTCTCACAGTAAATGGCACCATATAGAGTATGCTTGGATAACTGGGCTATTATTTTCACATAACCAGACTTTTGACTAGTAGCGTAAAGTCTGGTCCACATTCCAGCTTATTATGATAAAAAAAACGACCACTTATAGACAGGAAGACAGCATCTAACTGATTGAAATGACCAGGCACAGGTTTTACATGATGTTTAGGGACAATTATAACTGATTTACCTTGTACTAAGGATATATTAAATATCTTTTCAAGATTTGAAGCAATGCATCTTGACGAACTTCAAAAGTCAAGTCCAGTGTCTAGTTCTTCCTAATATGAAATGCAATTAAAATAAGTGCTGAAAAACACAGGATGTGAAGAAAACACTCCTAAGTTGAAGCAGCGATTTTATCAAAAGCTTAATAATGTGGAGACCGGCCAATTATTTCAAATATATTCTATCAGAGAATTTATTGTATTATTAACTTGTGAATTATTTATCACTTCTTCAATTGTTTATCACTAGTTCAGGGAATAAGTAACACAAAAATGAATGTTCTCTTGTAATTTACTCCAAACTAGTATTACACTTTTATCTCTGGAACACAAAAGGAGATTATTTAATCTGATTGGGTAAGTTCAATGCAATAGCAATGATAGGTCTGTTGTCTTTTGTCAAAGAGCCCACACAGAAGTCACATTCAAACTAAGCGTCCTTCTATTGTTCAGCAGTGAATTTGTGTGACAAACTTAAACCTGTTGTGAAATCTGTGTGGGGAAATCTTTTGCCCTCATGCAAAATTCTTGATTGCATGGATTCCTATTGAAATGACAGGATTTTACTTCTCTGAATTCTCGGAACTACGAAAAATGTGTAATCCATTCCTTCTAGGACTGCAACAACTAATCAATAAAATCAATTTTAATCGGCAATGAAAATAATTGACAGCAAATTCTATTCGATTAATCGCATCTGCGCATCCTCCGGTCATGTCAGTTTACACTAGTGAATAAGATATTTCTATGAACTAAACGCATATGAAATATAGCAGAGGACACAAAGTGAGCTGCTGCAGGAAAAGTGCACGACCCAAGTTGTCCTGTACATAAGAATGCTCTAACAGCAAGCTTGACAATTATGTATGCTATGCAAAGCATTTGAGACGTGTTTTCCTCAGTGCATAACTTGCATTTCAGTTGTATCCTTATCTGTAAATCTTAGAAAGTCATGCTATTATGTCCATTTTACATAAAGGCTAGCCCTGAAAGCTAGTGAATCTCTGTAACCTTCACAGACTTCGCTGAATGAACGTCGGTGTATGCGTGCACTTCAAACAGACAGAGCACACCACACAGCCAAGAATATGTATTTTCAAATATATTTTAATTAAAAAATATACAATACATTGTTTTGAAAATATAGTTAAAAAAATATAAATATCTTTTTAAAAAGATAATTTTGCCCTATATATTTAAATCCAAGAAAATACATTCACATGTCACATTTGAAGAAAAACTTTATTTGTTGTCTATAACATGTGTGAACATATAACACATTTAAATAAAATCCAGCAAGGAACATATTTTACAATGTTCCAAAAAAAAGTACAATATTAAAATAAAAAATTAAACACTATTAAAATATATTTAGCATGTTAAAATATATTTTGGGCACAAAATATATTAAATATAAAAAATATAGGAGTGCAATAATTCTGACTTAAAGGCACAATATGTAAGATTTTTTTATTAAAATATCCA